AGATAGATAGATAGATAGATAGATAGATAGATAGATAGATAGATATTCATAGGTCAGAGTATAAAACTTTTTTTTTAAGTATAAAAACAATGAAAAAACAACAACAACTTGGCCCAACAAACAGAAGCATGGGAAGCTACAAACAAAACAACAACAACATGCAAATCTTAAAACCGCAACATGCAAAAATTAAGCAAACCAAAAGATAAAAAACAGGGGATAATCTCAGTACAAGCTTTTAAACAAATGGGAATGCATTTCATGTTTGTAAAATCTTCTTGCGTGAAAGTCGGTGTTGTAAATCACATGCCGCATGTCATACATAAAAGCTAAAATGACATGCCCGTATTCAGCAGTGTGAGCCACAGAGACAGTTGTATTGTGTTGATGTCAGAACAGCTGGGCACCGCCTCAGCCTCGCTGCTCATCGTAGTCAGCAGGTGTGCGCACATCCTCACAAACACACGCACAGAAACAAACACTAACAAAGTGCCTCTGTGATGCAGCAGAACAGCATGTTTGATAGTGTAAACTGTGAGCATCATCTAAATCTGTGTTTGTAGAATGAGTCTTTTTCCACCTTCTGCTCTTGTTAGTGAAATAAAAGTAAGTAACCATGCCACCCTAATCTTTCTAAACTGACGCTCACTCGTCGCAGGTTGGAAAGCTGCAACAATTACCATCATTCCAGGGAATATGTTTGCACGGAGGACAACTTCATGTCTGCTACTCTACAGGATTAAAAGTGAAATAATTCCCCGTCACAGCCTTTGGTTCTGGTATGACATCCTCCTCCTGTTGAAATCCTGCTTTAAAAGCGTGTTTTTGTTGTGCTGCCCATTTTCTGAGAGCTGAAAAGCTGCCATAAATTAAAAAGCAAAACAAAACAAATGAGTCACCACAGCAGCTCTCCAACATAGAGAGTGGGGTGAGGGAACATTTCCAAATCTGCACTTCACTTATCTATAAAAAACCCATGCATTTACGGAATAACACATCCGGTACCGGGAACTGTGTGTTGGAGGGGTGAAAATATTGGTAAATGGATAGTATAACAAGTGAGGATGTCAGCTGCCTCACACTCAGTAGGCTTAAACATGCATGTGCGGACATCGTCCATCAATGCAAGTGCTACATTTTGCACAAGACTGCAGAACCTATTCACATGTGCTGCAGACTGCGGATAATGTCAGTCTGGTGTCTTTCGCTCTGCGTGTTGGCATTTTCGCGGACAGCGGTGAGAGACAGCTGTGGCTGGGTGGGGTTTGGATGCAGTGCATGGCCTCATTTTGCAACCTGCAGTGTAAAATGAAAAAAAGAGGGTTTGACCAGCTCTGTGCTGGCAGTGAGGGGACATACGGTCCGATGCCGTCTGAGGATACAGAAGACACATGTGCACGGGCATTCTGCCCGGTAACACTCGACAGCAGACAGACGATTGGCCAACATTGAGTCTTTAGTCCTCAAACTCTGTGGCCTCTTCACGCAGGCATGGCGCCAAACATGGGGCTCCCTCCCCTGCATTAATACATTCAACCTCTCATCTTGTCTTTAGAGACAGATTAATTTGAATGTTGTTGTGCAAAGTTGATTTCCAGGGTCAAGCCTTCAAAGTCTGAACATGCATTCATTAGCGATGGCTTTGAGAAACCTAAAACCTTTTATTTTTCCATTATTTCCCAAATCAAAATGTGCTTCAAGGCTCTTCAAATGAGAAGTCATGCTAGGGGACAAGGAGACTAAAAGCAAAACAATTGCACTGAAAAGAGGTGTGAGAAGCGAAGCAGCATGCAAATAACTCTGAACTCAAATAAAATCTGACAGCCACTGATTTTTTTTTTTTTCGTATTTCTCTCTATTTTTCGCTTTATTGTTTGATTGCGTTTGTGGTGACTCATTTCTATCCTTTTAGTAGGGCCATCCGGCACTTTCTTTAGATACACTCTCAAAGGCAACACAAAAGGAGAAAAAGAACTGAGAGAGTGAGCAAGAGAATGAGAGGGCACAAAGAAAGAGGTAAAGCCGTGGTTTTGTCCTGAGATAAGGCATAAGACAGCTCTAGGAGAGCGAAGATGGGAAATGAAAGGATGTGTTGGTTAGTTGGAAGCAAGAGCACTAAGCTGGACTCTAGCTAGTCACACAGTATTTATTAACCAGAGACACTATCAAGAGGAGCAGACGGGCTACTCAGAGTTTAAACAAACTGGTGGATTCGCAATGTTCAATGTGATGGATACAGAATATAAAGTCTGGATTTTTTTTTTAAATATCTAATTGGCTTTTTGTAGATTCAACACCTGATTTTGTCAATGTAGAAGGTAGTTTGCTGGTTTAGGCTAGTGAACTGGTCTGCCAGTTTTGGCCAAGCTGGTGTTCAACAAGTTTTCCACATGGTCTCTCAGTCCTACCAGCTGACAAATGTCCAAAACCACTGTAAAGCAAGCAAAATGGCTAGTGAAAATGAACCACTTTGTTGGCCACCCTTCTGTAAACACCTTTGAATTCATTAAAAATGACTAGCTTTACCAGTGGAAACCAAGTTATGAACAGTAAACCACCTTAGGTTTTTACTGTACAAGGGGAGCTAAATCATTACCGTTGGATCTTATGTGTTTTACAAATTATTAAAATTTCTATCATTCTTGGGTGCATTGCCAAGCTGGCTGTTGAGTAAACTAACTTGCCCCATTAGCATGCCAACAATCAAACCAGTTAATAGTTACCTAAACAACTCTGATATGGGCTAACGTAAGAATGATATTTGGCAGCCTACAGAGTTCACCTATGACTTAGGAATCATGGGATATGTTGAAAAAGGGCAACAGCCAGATCTTATTGTTGATCTTACTGTGATCTTGGAAATAGACCCAGTGCTAATTGTAAAAACTAAAGACAGAGACGCTTACAGACATACTTGCATTACAAAAGTGCTTGAGAACACAAGAGAGAGCTACTTTACAACAACGTGTGGGCATTCATTTTGAAAAGCCATGACCTCATGGACGAGAGGATGCTGACCTTCCATCAACTACATAGAAGTCAATACAACTATTAGACTATTGAGTTTTCTTATTCAACATTCCAGAGCGCAGTCGATACCGTAGTTAGTAGAAGAGAACAAAACTGAGAAATCAGTCCAAAACACACAGCGTGATTTATACAATCAGATAGACCAGAATAGAACTCGACCCCATAATGCATCACATTCTTTATTTGCAGACACAGCTGAAGGCCTTAAATGCAGTTAGCGTTAATGTGTTTCTCAACAGTAAAATCATAGTCACCCACACACAGCTACTCTAATGTTAGTAATTGAGTGTGTTACTGTCGGTCATTCTAGTGCAAGTTAATTTTAGCAAGCTTCTCCTTTTTAGGGTTAATACTACAATAATTAAACTGGCACTTACAGTGAAGCTGTAGAAAAGAGCTGATATGACAATCATCATCTAAAAGAGTACTTTATAGATGTGGACTTAAACACTGTAATCTGATGATTTATATGACAACATGCACACTCAAATGAGAATGTTACAGAGATCAGCATGAATTGTGGTGAGACTGATGACAATGGATCTTGCTAGACCAGTTCTACTGCGTCACAGAAATCTAATACGGGCGTTGACTCTCAGACGGGACATGAACATGACATGACATGATATGACATGGAGGTTTCAGATGAGATCTAGACATGAAGAAGCGCTCTGTTTAGTGATTGTAGGACTTACGGGTGGTGCTGGTGGGGCTGGGCACCCAGTTCTCTGTGAAGTTGACGTTGCACATGTTGGTGCTGCAGCAGCAGAATCTGTAGGTGCCATTCTGGATCTGCGACGGCGTGGTGGTAACCACGCAACGGTCGTCATGGCAGTCCTGCTGGTCACCAATGTAAGTCCAACAGCCTGCAAAAAAAGGATGCAGATGGTTGAGTGAACGATAGTGAGACACTGAGATAGCAAAGTCTGTAAGAATGTGTAGGGATGAAAAACGTGTGTGTGCATCTTTATATTATATTATATTATATTATATATTAAGCTAATTTAATATATCAAGTTTTTCACTCATATTAAATTTCATACATTCATCCATAAAATTCAATCATTCTATCTATCTATCTATCTATATGTGTGTGTGTGTATGTGTGTTTATATATAGTATTAATGAATAAATGAATTTAGCTTAATTCACTGTCATTTTAAAATTCACATATATACAGTATATACTGTATATATGTTTTTAATTCATTATATTATATTATATTTAACATGACAAGAAATTTACTGAATGTTCAAAAACACAATCATGCAAACCTATTAAGGAGAATCTGGGTTAGAGTGCAGTTATTAACTTAATTTAAATGAATAGTTCAGTCAAGAAGTAAACGGTTTCATTAACTTAATTAAGCACGCTGCAGGGACGCGTCTAGAGTGATAACGACTCTGATCTGACCATAAAGTCTTTCTGAGTCACAGGGCTCAAGTCCAAGTCAAGTCTCGAGTCTTTGCTGTCAAAGTCTAAGTCGAGTCTCAAGCCTTCTTTAATTATGTCGAGTTGAGTCGCAAGTCATCAAATTTGGGACTCGAGTCCGAGTCAAGTCTCGAGTCTTTGCTGTCAAAGTCTAAGTCGAGTCTCAAGCCTTCTTTAATTATGTCGAGTTGAGTCGCAAGTCATCAAATTTGGGACTCGAGTCCGAGTCAAGTCTCGAGTCATGTGACTCGAGTCCACACCCCTGCAAACCAGTATGCTGTAATTTTTCATCGAGTAAAATGCTTAGCATGAAATAAAAGCATACTTTAAAACTACAATGGGTAATAATGGACAAACTTCTGAAACAATTTTTTGGTTGAACTGTCTCTTTAAGAAAAACACAAGTCAATGGAAAGTCCTCATAAGTATATATGCAAAAATTTGTGTGTGTTTGAGTTCATTCTGACCTTGTTTGACCAGGCGAATCTCTCCATCGTGTGTTTTCTCCCACAGGCCATAGCAGCGGCTGCTCTTGCTGCACAGGATGGTGTTATTTTCTCTGGTGATGTGCCAGTCAGCAGCCACACTCTGCTCATCCACCTGCTGGTGCTGGTCATTAAATGCACACTCCCGCTCTCTCTCCTCACTCTGAGCAGCTGCCGAGATACAAAATGAGAGAAAAAGATTCGATTATTAACAACAGAACACACAACATCCAGTAGAAACACTTCCTGTAGGCCTACACACACTCTCTGGAAAAGCAAAGTGATCATTACTTATACCAGGCCCTTTAAGGCAAGTCAGTCCACATGGCAGCCATCTTGGAAACACCCCCAGGTGGCTATTATCTATGTAGACAGCTCACCATGAAATCTATTTTCTAAATGCATGTTATAGATCTTATTGTGAACGATTCCATATAGGTTCTATTTTTTTATTTTCAGAATTGGACATATACAGGACTTCTCCAATCATTTTTCCCCTGCAAGCATCTTTAGTGTAACACCCACATCTCAAAAATCAACAACCAATGGATAGAACCACTCCCTGCCCAACATTTATTTATTTTTTTTGATAATCAGTAATGGGGAAAGATCAAAATCTCCAAACCCGTTGGCTAAGATTACGTCAATAACGTATTTTAACATCACCATTCAAATCAGACAAAAAAGGCTTCTTGACTTTACATCAAGTCAAAAATTATATTTTTCGTGTTGCACATTTTTTACAAAAACATTTTTATTTTGTCAAACTTAATGTGTTAAGTATGATAATAATTATTATTTATTTTATTTTATTTTAGTAATCTTATTGATTCATTTAACCTTAAAGGGATAGTTCACCCAAAAATGAAAATTTGATGTTTATCTGCTTACCCCCAGGGCATCCAAGATGTAGGTGACTTTGTTTCTTCAGTAGAACACAAACAAAGATTTTTAACACAAACCGTTGCAATCTGTCAATGGAGGTGAATTGGAATCATGGCTTTGAGAGTAAAAAAAAAACATACACAAACAAAACCAAATTAAACCCTGCGGCTCGTGACGATACATTGATGTGTAAAGACACAAAACAATTGGTCTGTGCAAGAAACTGAACAGTATTTACATCGTTTTTTACCTCTGATTCACCCAATGAATAAAAGTGGACCATTGACACTCCTAATTGAGATTGTAGATAGAGTGTCAATGGTCCATTTGAGAGATAGGTGGCAGTAATGCACTTATAAGTCTGCGATCCGCCGTAAAGCAAGAAGATGACGACGACGCCTCACACGCCTGCTGTTGAGAACACGCTGAGGAGGACGCGCCGCTCAGGACAGTTCGAACAGTTCGGACATTGTGTGAATCAGAGGTAAAAAACGATATAAATACTGTTCAGTTTCTTGCACAGACCGAACGTTTTGTGTCTTTACACATCAATGTATCATCACGAGCCGCAGGGCTTAATTTGGTTTTGTTTATGTTTTTTTTTACTCTCAAAGCCATGATTCTCATTCACCTCTATTATAAGACTGACAGACTGCAACAGTTTGTGTTAAAAATCTTCATTTGTGTTCTACTGAAGAAACAAAGTCTTGTTTTGCGCAAGTGTAAAGCTCTGTTTTGGGGATTACGTCTAAGCAATGCACACAGACTGAAGTAGTTTAAGTCTTTGTTTCTTTTAATTGTGATGATTTTGGCTCACATTTAACAAAACCCCACCAATTCACTATCTCAACAAATAAGAATATGGTGACATACCAATCAGCTAATCAACTCAAAACACCTGCAAAGGTTTCCTGAGCCTTCAAAATGGTCTCTCAGTTTGGTTCACATGTTGGCAAATTTAATAAAGCTTTCAGCTAAGTACATTCATCTTTAACACAGATTTCCCCACAAAATCAATGCAGGATGCCGTGTGCGCCTACTTGACTTTTTTCAGTCCTACAAAATGATTTCCTGCCTGGAGGAAGTTGAAGAGTTCATTCTGTGTGAGGATAATCAGGTTGAATGTGGGCACGTACTTCTGATCGTAGCTAAACCTTGATTAATCGGATGCAATAGGAGGGGTGGGGAGATTTGAAACTGTCCGATGGTTTTATGCTGGGAGCGAAACACCTGGGGCCCCCACGGCACCTGCTGCTCCTCCATCCAACCATGTACACATTTGCTTACGTGTACACAATGCGCACCACCCAAAAAACTCCATCACAAAGCTTCCCGTAAGTCACTGTCATGACAACAAGGGAAGGGAGGGGGAAACAACAGTGCGCTGAGCATACGTGTAGAAAATGAACGTTTTGCGCGGTGCCGTGTATTTAGAGAACACAAAACCGTGATGACAGATAAGGGCCCTAGCCAACAGGACTGCCCTCATTTTCATGAGCAGAGCCAGCAGGGCTGAATTCTGCTGTCGGCTGATCGCAATCTCCATCGCAGCTGACCCGCACTCACCCCAACTGTATCCAATGAATTAATCCTCTCTCTCTTTCCCGCACTGTCATGCAAATTGTCAAATTGAGAGGGAAAAATCATAATGCCACTCATTTAACAGGCTTGGCGAATTCATGCATCTGGACCATTGTATTCACAGCGTTCAGACAAGTGAGCTGGGAGGGGGAAAAAAGCCCCCTGGTAGCATCATCGCCGGTATCCACGTCCCCTGTGAGTCCAGAGAGAGAGAGAATTGCCGCTGTATGTCCCTGGGGGAGGCCTTTGTCTGCTCCTCTACAGGAGCGGAGCCTGAAACGGCTGCACCGGTTTGTATCCCGCCGCACACACACCAGCAAGTGGTAACGCGAGCACAGATGAATGTGTCCTCAGCGTAGCCGCGGATGCCTGACGCTGCAGGACTCCTCATTATATCGACCAATCCTTAATCTAAAACGCGGCTGTTCAACCCGAGACCGAGGCGCAAAACGGTCCCTCAGCGGTGTGGAGGGGAAAATAAATAGTTTCAGTTTGGGGAGCCCCTATTCAAAACAAAACACAGAGCTCCACTGGGGGCCATAAAGGGCTGCTGATGGTTCGGAGATGCCTCCCAATTATGGGGTAAAGATGGAGGATCCAGTCTCAACTGACGGTAATGAGCATATGAGGGCTGAGCCAGATAGCACTCATGTCCTCTTCCTCTTTGAGCATTTGTGTTTGTGCAGTTACGAGAGAGTGACTGGGGTGTAATATCACATTAATATCACGTTGATTGTGTATTTTAGGCCCCGTCTTTGTTTTTGTGTCAGTGAGACAGGTCATTAGGCACAACGGTTTCCTGTAATTTGGCAGTTAAGCCGCACACCTACCCCACAACACAGGGGTGCAGAGGAAAAAGAGCGGCCTACAGCAGGGCCTTCAGATCCAATCACAAAGCAACACATGGTGAAGGAAAACACTGTAGCGTTTTGGCTGGCTCCAGAGCAACGAATCAAGACCATAAGTGGCTTAAGAGTTTGTGTGCTGGAGAAAAACAGCAGGACGCTAAACCTTAGAGCAGGTCACGCAGACAAAATCTGTGTTTATTAGCATAGAGTTGGTGAAGGAGCTTTCTCAACTGTCTTCTGAAAAATCAAGTCAATTTTCCTCTCTGAAAACTGACCCATGTTTCCAATCACTTAAATGCTGATTGATGATATAGCCAACCATACTGTTACAGCATTACAAGGCCATAAACGATCATTACGCATCACAGTCTGTGTACTGTAGGTATGTTTCAGAATTATGAGTTCTGAAATAAAAAAAATGCTGGTTACTTGAAAAGGAGTGTTTTTACATTTGTTGTGCTTCGGCACTTCTCTTCTGCACTGATGAATTTGATGGAGGTAGAAGTTTGCTCAGGATGGAGTGTTTAATCCCGCTTCTGCCTGCAAGAGGTCTATGCCGATTTTTCAGTCTCAGTCTGGTCAGATTTAGTCTTGTTCCTGTGTCATAGGCTATTTTTTTCCAATTCCCAAAATGAATAGGCTTTCCATTGCTGTCACATTCATTTGAGAAACACGGAGAATATCCAACCCTGTACCCACGTAAAATTATGTGCAATAGATAATATTATACAAATTACATTCAAAAGACATCTCTTAAAAACATGAAATAAACTTTTGTGCCAACTTGTACATTTTTATTTACTGTATTATAGTGTATCTAGGTTCAGCCTCAGACTCATTCCCACAGACTGCACACACTCTGTTCCCTAAACGTCTGATTCACATGGCACACTACACTTGGAACACTTTCGCAATGGCACAAAATTATAAATATGACAGGCTGACTTCTGAAGGTTTTCCAGGAGCCTAGTTTGTGGTGATCTTTACCAGTGAGTGGTCCTTGGCCAATTGCAGTGGCTATAAAGCCTAGACTAGAGCAGATCTCAATGAATTAGAAATGTAGTCATTTCTAATTTAGATGGAAATGAAAGCTAATATAAAATTAATCAATAATATATAACAGATAAATATAGCTACTGTTTTATTTTAGATGAAAACAAAGAGGATCGGGTAGTTGTGTAGCTTGACAAAAATAAGAAAGTGGTGTTTGTTAACTAAAGGCACATTACATCACGCCTCACTGGCTTTGTGTAGTACAACACTGTTGATTATTATGGGAGTAATTTAGTTTTGTTGCATCAGTGCAGAGAATGTGTTGAGTTTCCAGGGCTCATGTCTCCGGCTTCAGCTCTGAAACTCTCTGATGGAAATGCTATAACAGGTGATCAATAGTCATGAAGACAAATTAAAAATGTGCTGCTGGCACAATATTTTTGTCCTGAAATCTCAAGTGACGCTTTTGGCATCGTCGGATCTTCCAAATTACTCTGCTCTTTATTTTTGCCTGGTGGGTGACGAAGAGAAAATTCCACCACCTCTAGGTGGCAGGGTGCTCTGCTTTCCACCGAGAAAGGACACCAGAAAGGGAGGAGGGTGGAGGCAGGAGAGAGGATTGTGGGATTGTTTTTGGGGGCAGTCTTTACCAGCCTGACTCTGCCCTGCTACTGTTTGTGCACCAGCTCAAGGTTAGAGCTGCCGCTCAGAGGCCTGTCAGCATTTTCCCCAGATAACACTCAACTCTGTCTTACTGGGGACCTTCAGCCCTTTTTAGTCCCACCTCTCAGTCTTCATTTTAAAGGGAAAGTGCAGTCAAAAAAACTGGTGTACTCCACAGCAGCAGTAGCTGATTTGTCTGCTGGCGTTGGGAAAAATGAAATGTGCTTTTTTTTATTATAAAGAATACATCAGAGTAAAGAACTACATGAACCGAAGCAGAGTACAAATCGTGATTAATTTATCACATCTCCGCTGAGGCCAAAAGCCAAGGCTGTGTCTGCCAAAGAGCCGGAGGGCCTGCGGCCATTTCCTTTCGAGTAGATTATCTGAGAGGCTGGCATAGGCCCCATCTCCTGCCAATGTCTCTATGGACAGGGAAGCTGTCAGGTTGGCTCTCAGATACAGGAAGGCAGAGGGGGAGTGCTGGCACTGGAGGGGGCACCAGCAGAAACCTCACTCCAGCTTGGCCTACGAGAACTTGGGGGCCAAATGAAAGGAAGGAGGATGGTTCAGCAATTCCAGGGCCATCTGGCAGGGCAGAACCACGCAAGACCATCAGTCAGTTAAATTAAGTGGCATATTGATATAATACAAAATTTCCTTTTACTATAGTAAGGAAAGGAAGACACTCTGATTTTTCCTTTATAAATATTTACTGTAGATCATGCATAGAAGTTTAAGTGTGGTACTTGTAGTAAGACCCCATTAACCCAAAAGTAAACCATAAATTTCTCCTCAATATCAGAGTTGGATCAATATAAGTACTGCATGCTTTATTTAAAACTAAATGCATATTCCACAAATATATAATACATTATGAAAATAGCTTGGAGGTGAAGTGCAACTAGTGTCATCAAAAAGAAATTAAGAAATATAGACTGGTTTCCTGAATACTCCCCTCATCTGCCATTGGTCGGTCAAACAGACTGTCCCGCCCGCAAACTTGTACCATTGGTCAAGTCAATGTTGCTGTGGTAGTCTAGTCAGGATGCTGAAAGAAGTTTTACAATTCCACAAAACCACAGTATACACTTAAAATCAAATGGACCATGTGCCATATCAGTATTACAGATTTTAATGATCCATACTGGATCGATACTGGAAGTTTAAATGCACATGCTAATGTTTTCTTTTTTTTACATTTAGATTACCTTTGTTGTCATCTAATGCTCACCCTAAGTGAATAAAAACACATTATTTAATTTACATTTAACGCTGTACATATTGTACATTATCCTGTTGTGATGCCTAAATTCACTTGTACCATCAAAATGGCTGATTTTAGTTTTTAAAGTTTTATTTTAAATTTATGCTGATAAAATACAATTTTAATCAGTTGTTTATCAGTTATCAGCCTTAGCATTAAAATATTTTCCAGCTTATTATTATTAGCTATAATATCATTTTAGTATTAATATTTTAATATAGTTGTTTCAGCACATTAATCCAAGACAGGACTCAGGAGAAACTATTTTTACAGAAAGAACATTTACAAACTATAATTGCAGCTGCCATAGATGCAATAAAAATGGAGATTCCCTCACTCCCAAAATTGTCATAAGCCTTAGTATACATTGAAGTTGGAGTACTGCTCCCTGAACCGAGCAGTTGCTCACACAAGTAATCAAAAAAGTCATTTGGCTGCAACAGCAATTACACAGCCATGTTTTCATGAGGACGAGCTCAAGGCAGCGATCAAATACAGGAGAGAAAAACGGCAAATCCATCTTTTTAACAGGCAGGAATTTATTTGGACCTATGGTTTCATAAGGTAACATCTACCGAGCCTCAGGGACAAGGCCATCGACTTGGAACAGCAAATTGAAAAATAATACAATTACTGCTTTACAGCTTTTGCCCCTTTAGCTCAGGACAATTTGTGTTCATTGAATCTCTGTGTACTCGTTTAATCAAAGTTGAAGTGAAAAACACGGCTGCACACCAAACATGTGCAAGATTCAGCTGCAGGCTCATAACATGTAAAATACATGAAAATGTATCTTAAAAAGCTTAATGCCAGTGCCATCAGGCTTTATATGCTTTCTGAAACAAAAACAGGCCTCAAGATAATTAGCAAAACACCAGGCAGAGAGCATTTTATTGAGCTGAACAGAGACTGTGGAGCTCGCAGTGCTGCTCAGTTTATTCATAATAATCAGAGTCTCGTCCACCCGTCCAGGACATTTACTTCCGCAGGACACCAGCTCTCCATCTCTGGATGCAACCACTAATGTCTGCTTAATATCATGGTCATCTCAATAAGATTAGCTGAATTAATATGAAGACAGAACGGACGTAGATGGATACAAGACAACAATGTGGTTGCGGTGTTGGTTTCAAAATAAGGCTAATTAGTATTCTGATTATAGCATAATCTTCTGATTATTTCTTCTATACAAATCTGATATCTTACCCAATGCTTTCATTCAAGCATATGTGCAAATTAAAGACTATGTAAAACATGCTATACATTGTGAGCAAAAAAATATCAAAGCCTTATTGCAGCAACCTAGCCCATCTAAACCTTTATGCTAATTACCTTCTTTGAAGTGTTTAATGTGAAGCATTTTGGACAACTTGCGTTGTGCATTTTTTTCCCCCCTCTGGCATTTTTTCCAAATGCCTTTTTTTTTGCAGGTTTTTACTGCAATGTGACATCAAGGATGAAGGCTTTTTCACTATCGATTTTAATCAATTTGGAGCCCTGCTTCAAACCAGGGTTATTATCACAAAAACTTTTAAAAACACTTTTGTTAATTAAAATAGAGCTAAAAAAATTACATATTAGATGAAAAACTTCAACTAAATGAAATTAGAAATGTTGCCT